TTTTTTATTCTGGGATTTATTTACCTTCTGTAATTGAAACTTTGTTGCAGCTCCAACTCCGAGGCCAGCTGGTGTCTGGGGTTTGTTTAGCTTCTATAATTGCAACATTGTTCCTTAGAGTGCAGCTCAGAGCTGGGCCGCGGCAGGCGGGGAACCTTGGCTTCCTCCTTCACTGTAGCAAGCAAGCCTCCTGTTCGCTTCAGCTGCCTGGCTGCCGGCCGCCATCTTGGTTGGCAGTTTATTTGCATATCGCCCTGATTAGCCAATGGGAAGCGTGTCGGAGGTACGGTTAATTACCATGTTTGTCTATTATTAGATAGGATGGCATTACTGACCTCAGTACTAATACATTTTATACTTAATGACAACATTCCAAAGCACTACACAGAATAAGAGAAAAAATGAATTATATCAAAGTTGCCTCCATTTTTTAATATTCATCTAACTGAAGATGAGAAAAAAATTTCATTTTACACATATATTCTTTTTAAAAAAAAAAAACAAAAACCTTATTAGGATAGCCTCAAAAGGCCCCAATTGTATTACGAAACCAGGTAGCTCATGCCTCTAGGAAACACAAAATGACCCAACTTCAAGACTTAATATATATAAAGCTACAGTAATCCAGACAGTATGGTATTGACAAAAGAATGGACAAATAGATCAATGGAACAGAATAGAGCCTAGAAATAGACCCACACAGTCAACTGGTATTCAACAAAGGAGCAAAGGCAATACAATGAAGCAATGATCGTCTTTTCAATAAGTAGTGCTGGAACAACTGGACATCCACATGCAAAACAATGAATCTAGAAAGACATTACACCCTTTATAAAATGACACCCTTTATAAAAAATCACAGGCCTAAAGATTAAACACATAATTATCAAACTCCTAGAAGATAACTTAGGAGAAAACCTAGATGACCTTGGGTATGACTTCTTAGATACAACACAAGGTACAATCTATAAAAGAAATTGATAAGCTGGACTTCATTAAAATTAAAAACTTCTGCTCTATAAAACACAATGTCAGATGAACAAGACAACCCACAGACTGGAAGAAAATATTTTCAAAAGACCCATTTGAAAAAGGGCTATTGTCTAAAATATTCAAAGAACTTTTAAAACTCAATAATAAGAAAATGAATCCGATTTAAAAATGACAACAGACCTTCAGGCAACTCACCAAAGATATACAGATGGCAATAAGCATATGAAATGATGGTTATTATATGTCATTAGGGAATTGCAAATTAAAATGAGGCACAACCACATACCTATTAAGAATGGAGTAAATCCAAACCACTGACACCACCAAAAGTGGAAGAGCAGGAACTCACTTATTGCTGGTAGGAAGGCAAAATGGTACAACTATTTTGGAAGACAGTTTCTAAGAAACATAAACATACTCAACATATAATCCAGCAATTGCACTATTTGGTATTTACGTACCCAAATGAATTGAAAACTTATGTTCATAGAAAAACTTGCACACAAATGTATATAAAGCAGCTTTATTCATAATTGCCAAAATTGGGAAGCAACTCACTTGTCAGTCAGTAGCTGAGTAGATAAAACTGGGCACATTTTGACAACGGGCTGTTGTTATTCAGCACTAAAAAGAAATAAGCTGTCAAACCATGCAAAGAAAGGGAGGAAACTAAATGCAAATTCCTATGTGAAAAAAGGCCAATCTGAAGAGTTTACATATTAAACGATCTAAATGTATAACACTCTGGAAAAGACAACTATGGAGACAATTAAAGGTCAGTGGTTGCCTGAGATTGGGAGTAGGGGAATGAACAAAACACTGAAGATTTTTCGGGCAATGAAACTATTTTGTATGATGAATATATGTCATTATTCATTTGTCAAAACTCATAGAATGTACAACACTGAATAAACTCTAATGTACATTATGGACTTTGAGTGATAATAATGTATCAATGTAGGTTCATTGAATGTAACAAATGTACCACCTGGTGGGGATGTTGATAGTAGGGGATGCTGTACAAGTTCAGGAGCAGAGACTATATAGAAATTGTAATTTCCACTTAATTTTGCCATCAACTTAAAACTTCAATAAACAATATAGATGGAACATAAAATATATTGTTCAATAAGTCTAAATAAAGTCAATGAAGTTTTTAAAGAGATGAGACTGGTAAAATCCAAATAAGGCCTGCAGTTTATGGAATGGTATACCAAAGTCAATTTCTTAGTCTTGATACTAAGACTAATTTTACTATGGTTAAGTAAAATGTTATCATTGGGGGGAAATCAGTGATGGAACTCCAATACTTCCATAACATTTTGTGAATCAAAACTACTTTGAAATTTAAAAAGATTTTTGAGGAAAGATAAGATTTGTCAAATGTGGAAGGCTATTATTTATCAAGATTTGTAAATACCTTAAGCGACTAATCTAGCTTTTTTTGGTGGTAATAAGATTTACATCTCTGTGTAAAAAACACTTTGATACTCCTTGTTCTAAAAAAATATGACAAACCTTATTTCTATAAGCTCAGTATACAGTTTTAGGCATAGACGATGAGAAATTCTGAATGAGGGAATAAGTTTTATACAATTTTCTTAGAAGAGTAAACTAAAAAGTAGTACATATACTCTGATGGAAGATGATCTGATATGGGAAAAACCAAGAGAATGCAGACCACTAAGCCCAATACTCTTGTGCCTATCCAATGGTACAGCTTTTGTCATGACAAATAAATTTAGCTTCTTTTCAATTCTACAGATTTAAAGTCATTAAACATTTTTAAAGGTTACTGAAAATCTCTGAACTCTTTGCTTAAAATAGAATCAATGTAATTTATATAAGCCATTATTACCTTTTTATAGTAATGTTTTTCTTCAAAGTAGAATAAATTTTATTTTTTTAATCTTTATAAAGTATTACATGTCCCCATTTTTCCACCACTGACCCCCTCCAGCCTGCCCCTGCACCCCCCGCCCCAGGCCTTCAGCACCCTATTGTCTGTGTCCATGGGTTATGCATATATGCATACAAGGTTTTTGGTTGATTACATCCCACCCATCCATCCTCCCCATCTTCCCCCTAGATTCTGCACTCTGTTCCATACTTCCATGTCTCTGGATCCACTCCATTCATTGGTTTATTTTGTTACTTAGATTCCAAATATGAGTGAGATCATGTGATACTTATCTTTCTCTGACCTATTTCACTAAGCATGATACTCTCCAGGTCTCTCCATGCTATCTCAAAGGGCAAGACATTCTTCTTTTTTTATTGCTACATAGTATTCCATGGCATAAATGTACCACAGCTTTTTTTATCCACTCATCTTCTGCTGTGCACTTGGGCTGTTTCTAGACCTTACCTGTTGTAAATTGTACTGCTATGAACATTAGGGGTGTATACATTCTCTCTGATTGGTGTTTTTGGGTTTCTTAGGCTATATTCCCAAAGTAAAATAAACTTTAATTCAATGAGTGTAGCTCCATTACAGGTCATGAAATTCACACTTATTTATTAAGCAATGTTTAATTTAGTAAACAAACATGTATATCAAATAAAAAAAACACACATACATCATGAAATAGTTTAAATACTCATGGTGATTATAGATTTTTTAAATGTTTGTTTTTTTAATTGATTTCAGAGAAGGGAGAGGAAGTGAGGGATAGAAACATCAATGAGAGAGAATCTTCTATCGGCTGCCTCCTGCACACCCGCTACTGGAGATCAAGCTCACAACCTGGGGATGTGCCCTGACTGGGAATCAAACCGTGAATTCCTGATTCATAGGTCAATGCTCAACCACTGAGTCACACCGGCCAGGTGTGATTACAGATTTCAAATGCAGTTTCCCTTTCAAAGATCAGGACATCTAGAATGTTTCACCCACTAAATTATCTCAAGAAACAAAACAGAAGACATTTTAAAAAGGAAAATGATAATTTCAAAATAAAAAGTGACTCTTCCCCTCACTTCAAAAACAAAATTTTTCTAAAATGTCAAGTAGAAAGGGTAAATACATAGAAAAAACACCTCACATTTAACTAAACAAACTTGAAAAAATCTTTAATTATATACAGAATAAAAATGAATCCAAGCAGATTTTTTAAAATTACACCTATTTCACCCTTTTTCTTCTTTATTAATATATTTTCCAATATATATTCAAAAGAAATGATAATGCTTACAAGATATGTAACATATAAAGCAAAGCAAGATCATTTATTTTCAGTAATTTCCTTTAAAAAGGGAGAGGGGGGACAGAGAAGCAAAGCCAACCATGAAGTGAAGAATAATCATAATGTTCTCAAAGCAGAAAGTGTGTTTACAATAGCAGGCTGCCTACTTAATTCTGACAGGAGCAAAACCAGGATGAGGCAGGAAATAACAGGGGGGACTAAATAGATGACACTCCTAAGATTATCTACCTTGTCTTCAGTTTTTCTTTTGACTTTTTTTTTTTAATATATTTTATTGATTTTTTTACAGAGAAGAAGGGAGAGGGATAGAGAGTTAGAAACATCGATGAGAGAGAAACATCGATCAGCTGCCTCCTGCACACCCCCTACTGGGGATGTGCCCACAACCAAGGTACATGCCCTTGACTGGAATCGAACCCAGGACCCTTCAGTCCGCAGGCCAACGCTCTATCCACTGAGCCAAACTGGTCAGGGCTTTCTTTTGACTTCTTACAAACTATATAAAAGTAATAAAAGACTGCTCATTCCCAGTGGAGTCAATAAAAAATAAAATGGAAAAATGTATCTCTCACTATGTTCCACTAATGTTTTACTTATAAAATGAGAAGAGCTCTGGCTGGTGTGGCTCAGTTAGTTGAGCATCGTCCCATGTATGGAAAGGTCTCTAGTTCAATTCCTGATCAGGGCACATGCCCAGGTTGCTAGCTTGATCCCCAGTAGGGGTCATGCAGGAGGCAGCGATTGATGTTTCTCTCTCACATATCCATGTTTCTCTCTCTCCTTCTCCCTTCCTCTCTCCCTAAAATCAATTTAAAAAAATTTTTTTTGAAAAAAGAGAAGAAACATAGAGAAATCTATACTCCCACCTCAAATTATTTAAAGATAATCATAGTTTAAACCAATCTTTTAACTATAATAGTAATATTCCATTGTAAAAGAATGGTCTGAAAATCATTTACTCATGTAATAACCTTCAGTAATTGTTTTTAATTTTTTTTTTAAATCCTTACCCGAGGACATGCTTAGAGAGAGGAAAGGAGAGAAACATCAATTGGTTTCCCTCTGCACATGCCCCAACTGGGGACTGAACCCTCAAACCAGGCATGTGCCCTAACCAGGAATTGAACTGGCATAGGATATCATCCAATCAACTTAGCCACCTCACCGGGCCTTCACCTATAAGTTATTATTATTTTTAAAATATACTTTTATTGATTTCAGAGAGGGAGAGGGAGAGAGAGATTAAAACATCAATGATGAGAGAAAATCATTGATCAGCTGCCTCCTACATGCCCCCTATTTGGGATCAAGCCTGTAACCTGGGCATGTGCCCTTGACCTGAATCGAACCTGGGATCCTTCAGTCTGCAGGCCGCTCTATCCACTGAGCCAAACCAGGTAGGGCGCTTATAAGTTGTATTTTAAGAAACATTTCCTCTTTAATCATCCAAAACCCCGTGCAAAAAGATGAAGTCTCACCCATAGTACAGATGTATGCCATTACAAACTGGGAACATAGTCTAACTTGCTCCTCTATGAATATATTATAGACACACTAATAAATATCAATGGATTAAATATTACATCTGATCTTATCTTCCACATAAATTGAGATAGAAGGGAAGGCAATGGATCAAAGTACTTCAAATAAAACAATTCTTTTTCTAGAGATTCCTTAAATTCCACTTTTCAACTTTTTGTGCTAATTTACACCAGACACATTACCATTTTCTATGAAACAAAGTTTCCAGTTAAGAAATCCAGTTAAAAAACTAGTCAACAATGAGATGAGAAGCACCAGGAAAAAAGCCTACCTGCTGAGGAGGATAACAGGGGAAAGACAGAGAAGCGTGGGTCCTTTGTGATATAGGACCTTTAGCCACTATAGTGATTCTGGAACCATCTACCTCCAGACTTCTTGTCATGAGAGATAATTAAATGTCTGGTTTTTATACAAAGGAAGGAAGGAAGAAGGAAGGAAGGGAGGAAAGGAGGGAAGGAGGGAGGGAGGGAAGAAGCTGGTCATAAACTTTCATATAGGACTCATAAAAAATCATTTTTTCTTGGAACAAAAATGGTTAAACACTTGGGTTTTCTAAAGAGACTTGTATAAATACAAAGCTACAAAGATACACAAAGCTGAAGTGTCTGGAATCATTTTTCTTCCTGAAGTCTTCAGCAAGATCACAAAGTGCTCAAAAATTCTTTGACCTGAGAGGAGGAAAAACATATTAATATAATTATTTGACTAATTTGAGATAAATAATATTCATCTTCATTTAAAAGTATATAACAATTGAGGACCCACCTGTATAAATAACTCTATCACAAAGCCGTAGCATTTACTTTAAAAGATCTATACATATAAAGAGGTAATATGCTAATTGTCCGTTGCAGTGTCCCAGTAACTACCAATCTGCATATTGACAGACCAGCAGGAGGCTATGCGTGCAGCAGGGGGCAGGTGGCCGGAGCCAAGTTCCTAGGGGTCTGAGGAGAGTGCCTGACAGGAGCCCGGACTGCAAAGATGGAAGAGGAAGCGGCCACGGGGAGCTCTTCCAATCCCCCTGCACGGACACCCTACCCCAGCCCCTGCTGACCCCGGGGGGAAGGACACTCTACCCCAGCCCCTGCACCCCCGGGGGGAAGGACACTCTACCCCAGCCCCTGCACCCCCGGGGGGAAGGACACTCTACCCCAGCCCCTGCACCCCCGGGGGGAAGGACACTCTACCCCAGCCCCTGCACCCCCGGGGGGAAGGACACTCTACCCCAGCCCCTGCACCCCCGGGGGGAAGGACACTCTACCCCAGCCCCTGCACCCCCGGGGGGAAGGACACTCTACCCCAGCCCCTGCACCCCCGGGGGGAAGGACACTCTACCCCAGCCCCTGCACCCCCGGGGAGAAGGACACTCTACCCCAGCCCCTGCACCCCCGGGGGAAGGACACCCTACCCCAGCCCCTGCACCCCCAGGGAGAAAGACACTCTACCCCAGCCCCTGCACCCCCGGGGGGAAGGACACTCTACCCCAGCCCCTGCACCCTGGGGAGAAGGACACTCTACCCCAGCCCCTGCACCCCCAGGGTGATGGGGAAGCTGACCGGATGGAGAGAAGACCCAGCCTCGGGGGTAGCTGCAGCCCACACCTCCGACTCCAGATCTCTTCCCCCGCCACCCCCGCCAGGGGCACCCACAATAGCACGCCGACCCCCCCGGAGGCCCGGGGGGCCTGGGCCCCGCCACTGCCAGGCCCCCTCTGCTGGGTCTGGGCACGCCTCTTCTCCCTACAACTCCAGACCCGGGTGGAGGCAGGCCTGAGGGGCCCCCACAGGGTCAGACCCTTCCCGCCCTCCGCCCCCACAGCAGCAGCAGCAGCGCCGCCTCCGCAGCAGAAGTCAGAAGTGCGCTGAACCTCGCTGGGGGCGCAGCTAAACCCGCCCTCCTAGCCCACCTGGCTCCGCCCTGGGCTGGCTCCCAACCCGCTCCAGGAGACTGGAGCCCCGCCCTGAGCAGGTACAGCTGCAAAACAGCCAAGCAGGAAGGTTTGACAGCTACTCCCCCTTCGGCTTCACCACCCCCCTAGCGCCCCCCTAAAGCCCTGCCCCCCACCAGCGCCTCCAGGGACAACCACTGCTACAGGGCTGCTGGCCAAAGCCCACTCCTCCGAGACCTGCGGAACCCTCTGCAAAGCTTCCATAGCTACAGTCCCAGGAAACAATCATGCCCTCCTCCCCTAATCAGCACCTGCTACCTGCGAGGGTACCCGTGAGCTTAGAAATAACAATCCCTTCCCGTTTAGACATCACTTACTTGATGAAACATTTCTAGGTTTATTAGCTCAGAACCTCCTCATGACAACCCAGTGAGGTAGGCGGAGAAGAGATTACAGTTCCCATGGTATATGCGTATATATTCAGAAATGAAGCTCAGAGAGGAAAAGTGTCAAGCCCAGTGGTTCCCAAGGTGCAGCACATGCCCCACAGGGTGGGCAATTTGATTTTAAGTGGGAGCAATTCGAGAATGAGTTAACAGTGAATTTTTTGCATTTCTTATGGTTCTAGAAGGCCTCGTCTACTATCCTACATAATAAAAGACTAATATGCAAATGACCGAATGGTGGAATGACCCATCACTATGATGCGCGCTGACCACCAGGGGGCAGACACTCAACGCAGGAGCTTCCCCATAGTGGTCAGTGTGCTCCCACAGGGGGAGCGCCGCTCAGCCAGAAGCCGGGCTCACGGCTGGCGAGCACAGCAGCAGTGATGGGAGCCTCTCCCACCTCCGTGGCAATGCTAAGGATGTCTGACTGACGGCTTAGGCCCACTAAGCCGTCAGTCGGACATCCCCCCAGGGCTCCCGAACTGCGAGAGGACACAGGCCAGGCTGAGGGACCACCCCCCAAGTGCACAAATCAGTGATGGTGAACCTTTTGAGCTCGGCGTGTCAGCATTTTGAAAAACCCTAACTTAACTCTGGTGCCGTGTCACATATAGAAATTTTTTGATATTTGCAACCATAGTAAAACAAACACTTATATTTTTGATATTTATTTTATATATTTAAATGCCATTTAACAAAGAAAAATCAACCAAAGAAATCAGTTCGAATGTCACCTCTGACACGCGTGTCATAGGTTCGCCATCACTGCTCTAGTGTATTAATAAATACTTTAGTAGTAAAAGCTGAATGACATAAAATGTAATTAAAGGAGTTATTCAATTTAGCCTAAGATTGATATAGTTCTATAACAGCCATAATCTCTAGTTTTATAATCTTTAATTTTATAATCATAATTTTATCTCTTTATAATACCTCAGACCACTGACATGTGCAGCTTTAGTATTGATAACATTAATAACTGCAATGGTTTAAACAATTCTGAAGGTTCAGACATGTAACATATCTGTAATTTTTCTTTTCTTGCAATATTTCCCCCTCCCCCAGTTAATTTTCTATAATTTCTCTGAAGCACAAATTTGAATCTTGTATATACTCTAATGTTAAAGTATGAGGAAAGGTAATATAAGCAGTGACTGAATCTAGCCAACTAACCAACAGCACAGTAACAAGATTCTATTCTCTTCACGTTCTAGACTACACAGTAATTCTCCTGAATAGACAACAATTATTGCCATGTAAAAATATTTCAAAAAGAAAACCAACTGCTAACATTATTAATGAAGACAAAAAATAAATAATACAAAATGATTTCTAGTCAATCTTCACAGAAATGTTACAATAAAATTTTAAAAAAATGGTTTTACAGATTCATTTCCGTTAAAATGATGGTTGGCTGTTAGTGCTTCAGTGGCTGACTTAATTTAAGTTATCATTTAAGTGAATTCCATCCTATATTTTTAAATATCATTTATAATAAGAAAGAAGTCACTTGAATTTTCCAGATATGCTTTAATTTATATGATGGAAAAACAAGTATCTGCGATAGTAGTTATCTAATATGTTGAGGTTTTAAAAATTCTTGAGATATATCCCTTAATGAATGTCAAGTACCTATTAGGAAATAGCAAACATTTTGTGACAGGAGAAAAGAAATGTCAAATTTATCTCAAAACTAAACGAACACAAAAGTGTGGTTTCTTTAGACCTTAGATCACTAATTTAATTAACACAAATACATAAATATTTGTTATATACTTCTCATGACTATTCTCTCTCAAGTATTCATTAATAAGTTCTCTCCCAGTATCTTTATCAATAAAGGCACCACTCACTTAAATAGAATATACCAAACATCTGGGGCATAGATTAACTCTGATTAAGACAATGACTCAATGATTAGACAATGACAATTCATCATTGACAAGATCCCAAATAGCCTGGCCAGCATGGCTCAGTGGTTGAGCAGTGACCTATGAACCAGGAGAGGTCACGGTTCAATTCTAGGTCAGGGCCCATGCCAGGGTTGTGGGCTCGATCCCCAGTCAAATAAATTTCAAAACTAAAACTCCTTTCATCTCAAGACTTCAGCTAACATAAAAATGGATAAGATCTGTATTTTACAATTTCAAGTATTCTTCATATTGAATTTAGTTGAAAAAATAAACAAATAGTTTATTATTAAAATGGCTAAAGATTGGTGGTATAGGGAAAGAGGAAGAAGCAGAGAAGCAAACAAGAACTTTTGTGAATATTCCTGTATCTCAGATAAAGGAACTAAAGGATTAAAAAGCTCCTTATTTTAGGTAAGGCCACAAAGCTAGAATTACAAGTTAGGATTACAATCTAAATAGTCTAAATCCCTCTAAAGCTTTTAATTGCCCCTTAATGTAACTTTATGTAGTCATTTCTGTTAGAAAATTGTTTTCTCACAAATTAGAATACCTTTTTAGACAAGACCAAGCAAATACTAGTTTATACTCTTTGTATAAATCTACCTTTTCAACCAGACTGTCGTGTTTGTCTTTAAAGTCTTCATTAACATCCAATATTAAGACAGGCACTTCTTGTAGATAATCAAAGTTGGTTCTATTTAAAGAGTGATGAACAAAACAGTTAGAAAAAGCAATAAATAAGAGAAAAACGAAAAACTCATTATTATAACACAGAAAAATCAAAATGTCAATCATTTTTCTATTAAAGTTATTCTTTAAGTACTTCATCGGACAGCCCCTTCTTTCTCACCTAGATTTACGTACACATATCTAAAAATCTCAGGTATAATATATAAAGCTAGGCATTGTGATATGTAACAGTCCTCAAAAACCAAAAACATACTGCATAGTAGGAGGAATGCTTGCATTTTAAAGATAAAACTAAAATTCAAGGAGACCACTCCGAAACTCAGAGATTGTCCAAGATACATACTCTTAAAAATTATGCTATACTACCTCCCAAGTCTTGATCTAAGAAACAAATGTGAAATATTTTACTTTAAAATAGTCTCTGAGCCGAAACCAGTTTGGCTCAGTGGATAGAGCGTCGGCCTGCGGACTGAAAAGTCCCAGGTTCGATTCCGGTCAAGGGCATGTACGGGTTGCGGGGGCACATCCCCAGTGGGAGATGTGCAGGAGGCAGCTGATCGATGTTTCTAACTCTCTATCTCTCTCCCTTCCTCTCTGTAAAAATTCAATAAAATGTATTTTAAAAAAAATAAAATAAAATAGTCTCTGAGAGTACCTAAATAATATACACAGATATATTTCCTACTTTATCACTTAATGTGAAATTCCTTATATTATGCTGTCAATACCACTGGGGGAAATTAGCTATAAAAACTTTAAGGAAATGGATCTCATTGAAATAAAAAGAATCAAAATCCACACCTAATTTGAAAATAAAAAATTGGACATATTGTACATTTTTAATTAAAATTTGACAGAAGTATTAAAAATGAGTAGTAAATAAGAATAAGGAAGTCTTACTTCAGTGTTCTGTGCAGGAGCCAGCTTTCATGCTTATAGTGAAGCTTCTCTAAATATTCAAGAGGAATGCCTTGTTCTTCATTTCTTCCCCGTAAATATATTCTACTCAAGCATTTCTAAAAGCAAGCAATAAGAAGAGAGGGTAACCCTGGCTGGTTTGGCTCAGTGGATAGAGCATCGGCCTGGGGACTGGGTCCCGAGGAGTTCGATTCTGGTCAAGGGCACATGCCTGGGTTGCAGGCTCAATCCCCAGTAGGGGGTAGGGGGCATGCAGGAGGCAGCTGATCAATGATTCTCATCATTGATGTTTCAATCTCTCTCTCCCTCTCTCTTCTTCTCTGAAATCAACCAAAATATATTAAAAAATGAAAAAGAAGAGAGGGTGGGGGGGGACAATTATTCTTGTCTGATGCCATTAAATTTTTCTTCTTTAGTGTCTTTTTAGTCATGCTAACGAAAATCTCTATTCCTTCCAAGAACAAACAATAGTTCCTTTTTCCCTCCCTATACTTTTCAACGATTTGGTGGATCTAAACCAAATAGCACTTTCAAAAATAAGTCTATAAACCTTTGGCACTCACATTTGAAATGTATTGTCTAAAATAAGTTTGATGAAAAGAAAAAAGTTCAGAATAAAACTGTGCTGCTAATTCTATTATAAATTCTCTTTTCAAATAATTAAATGATCCTCTAATCAAAGGATATCATAAATATTAATGAAATAATAGATTTATATTAGACTTTAAGATATTATCTGTTTCTAACAATGAAATTATCATTATTCTTTCTTCTATATTTGCATTTATTTTCATAATTAAAAAATTATTTTCAGAAATAAAAGTAAATTTCAAAATTATTATTAAATTCTGGTTTACTTGATATTAGAAGAACAAAATCATCACTTAGAATCAAAAACATAGTTCCTTTGAAAACTGAGCTTCAATATAACACAGTATTCTTTCAGGCTAGGAGTCGTAACATTTACATGCATCAGAACCTACTTTGTGACTCAAGGAATAAGTAGAAATAAAAATCTAAGAAAAATGGGAATGCAAGCACCAAAACCAGAAATTTAATAAATGTAAGCTCTCGTTTAGGTTAGTTTTATGAAAGGCATCCCACTTGGTCTTCCTGCATTCATTACATAATTTCATATGTAAACAATAGCTATGTTACAACCTATGATGAAAGGCACAATTTCAAGTAAACTCCCTTAACTAAAAATGGCAAGGGTCCACTAAGTCTCTTCTCAACTATAGCTGCTACTACCCACCCATTCCAAACCAAAACCACGAAAGATTTCCTCTTATCAATTTTGCCATTCATTCAGCAAATATTTACTGTGTATCCAAGGCTTATTCTAGACAGTGAAAATTCAACAGTAATTAAAATATCCAAAGTCTCACCTCATGAAGCCCATATTCTAGAAGTTGCTTAAGCAAGTTTCTTAATCTAGTTGTGATAAGATACTCTGCAAAAGTTAAGAAATAATGAAGAACAGAACTGAGATAGAACAAACAAGAACCTAAAAGAGCAACCTGCCAAATCTGGGTTTCTAGTTTGCTGAGAAAATAGAATGCTTCTATCTACACAGTTCTCAGTTTTTAATTTGGAGGTAGGAATCTAGAGGGTTGAGAGTGAAGTTTATTATTCTGCCTTCACTGCATAACACTGAAAATTTTCTAAATATTACTTTAAATTTTCAAAGGAACAAGCAAATGTTTATTAAGTCTCACCTCTGGACTAGCTCGAAGATAAATGATTCCATCCAGTTCAAGGCTTTGGCCAAATTGGTTATTCATCCAGTCATGCCAGTCCTGATAAATTGTCCACTCTGTTTCATTCATACATTCAGATTCATACAAATTAGATGCAAAAATATACCTGAAAGAGAGTTTACATAAATCCTTTCCAAAAAATACAGAGAAATAGAAAAGAGAAGATGGATCTACCAAATGGACATGGAAACTTCTCCTAAAATCTGTGGCAGATAATGCCTTGGATAACAGGAAAAAAAACCAATAGAGTATCTCCAAATACAGAAAATTATGTATTGCCCAGTGGTTCTCAGAAATGTGGTGTGAGGACCCCTGGTACACCCCAAGACCTTTCCAGGGGTTTTGTGTGAGAGGCCAGATAACTTTATACTTCAACCAAAAAAATATATTCAACAGAGTAAATACAGAACCATAAATGAGAACCCAGCTGTCCTCCATTAAATCAGGCATTAAAGAGATTCACAGAAATGTAAAATGCTCTTCTCACTATTTCTTTTTGCTTTGAAAAATGTAATTTTCACTAGTATGTTATTTATGTTTATATATGAGTTTTTATAACTAACTTTAAATAAATTTTTCCATTTCTCAATCTTAATTTCTAATAACAGAAATATGAATAAGACACAAAGATCTTTGAACTTCTCGATAATTATTAAGAATGGAAAGGGGTCCTGAGAACAAAAGTTTGAGAGCCCCTGTTCTGAGCTAACTCTAGAGATTAAAAGAATCCTTGCATACCCAGGGTAATTCCAAGGCCCCCTTAAAGATTTTTTACCTTCTTGCTCCAGGTGAGTCTACAATATAGTTCAGATTTAACCAGAGCAGATGAGAATTTTAAGAGGGTTGGAGGAAAAAAATTTCTCTACAAATTTGAATGAGATGGCCACATATTCCCTATAGTTTCCATGGAATCGAGAAATTATCTATAATAATAAGTATAATATGCTAATTAGACTGGATGTCCTTCCAGACGACCTTCCAGACGAAACCAGGGCTGTGAGGGAAGCCCAGGTCCTGGGTACCAAAGGGAAGCTGGTGCTGGCAGCCAGGGGCAGGAAGGCCTACTCTTGCACTAATTTTGTGCATCGGGCCTCTAGCAAATACTATAACTTCCCTAATGCCATTAGTTTGAAACTGCTAAAAGTATTAAATGTCATTCTCCATCTCAAATCCCCAACTCAACCTCTCTTATTACTTTGAATCCAAAGAAATAGAAAGAAAAAAAAAATTCCAGTTCTAAGCCAAGGATCCAACCTAATAAGTACAAGTAATTTATATATACCTGTCACTATACACAGATCGTTCAAAAAATAATACAGGTTTCTCCGCATCTTTGATCTTGCCGTTGAGAGAGGCAAGCTGAGCTCGTATGCGACTGAGGCAGGCATATGCCTGGAAGGTAAAAGACCATCGCTCAGGTTTCTCATACATCATCTGAAGAACATTCCCACCACTTTTCTGAGATGTAGTCAGTTCCTGTTTCAAATTTGAAAAAAAGAAACAAAAAGCAAAGTTAATGATCAATAGGCCTATTTTAATTTTTTTAAAAAGCTTATAAAGAAAAGTTGGATAAATAAATGCATCATGATTAGCAAAACCAAAATGAGTAAGTCCTCTTCTTTCTTCTCTTTCCCACTGTATTTTTAGGTTACCTGAAGCCTGGAAGAATTTGAAAAGCTAGCTTAACCACCAATTCCTTAGATCTTTTTCACAAGATGTCACAAACAGCCTATGTCAGAAATTATTTGTTTGGTCCAAATGGAACTCTTAAGACATTTAAATTAGTTGTCAATATCTAAAAGCTAAATAATTTCATATAATATAGCTGGATGTTTATCTTCTTTTTAAAAATAGGAAAACAAAGTAATACTGTGCCTGAATTTCCTCTTGGTAAAAATCAGTTAGAGCAAAGTCACATGTGCTTCACTAGGTAGGACACATGCTCTCTAGTTTATAAGCCCCACCATTCCCTGTTGAGACTCCAACTTTATGAATACTAACTGCTGGATACACAAGAGAAGTTAGCAATCAAGCACAAGCTTCCATTCTACACATAAAAATATCAGGCATACATTTTTCAAGTTGTTATTTCATCTTATAATAGTAGTAAGTGAGTCAAAATTGGTATTCCTTTTTAGTTCCTGTCTGTTTTCAGTTTTTCTATTTTCTCCTTGGATGTCAGGTGGTCAACACGGTTACCTCTTTAAAGTCCCTTCCTTGACAGCCCCTTCTAATCAGAAAATAAGTTTATTAGATTGTGTCAAAAGTATAAGTAAATACCCTAAGAACCTTAATGCATAATTTTTGTGACCTCCATTTTGGCCGCAAAAGTAATGTGCTTCCTTCCTTTTCTCAGCGATTACTAATGACAACTAATTTGCATGTCCCCTATCCTGTACTTTTAACTATTGCAAGCATTCCCCTTCAAAAGAAAAGGTAGTTAAATTTGTGTTTTCAAAGAATATTTTCATCATGTACTGTTACTTAGTAAAGTTTGGCAGGTCTAAAATAATTTCATAAACTTTTAAGTAATTAACATGCATTTTTTCTTAACAAAACTTCCTTCACCTTTCCTGGATGTCAGATACTCCTTCAAAGAAGGTCTATGAGTAGATCAAAAAACATTTGCATTTACCTGCAGTGAAAAAGAATCCAATGAAACAGAAAAACCAGGTCATGTTAAATTTATTTCAATACTGACACCAGATTTTATAAGACACATTTCCTCATTTCTTCAAAAGGAGATGGAGCATATTTTTAAAATATTATTTTATTGATTTTTACAGAGAGGAAGGGAGAAGGATAGAGTTAGAAACATCAATGAGAGAGAAACATCGATCAGCTGCCTCCTGCACAACCCCTACTGAGGATAGAGCCCACAACCAAGACACATGCCCTTGACCGGAATCAAATCCAGGACCGTTCAGTCCACGGGCCGATGCTTTATCTACTTAGCCAAACCGATTAGGGCATTGATGGCATATTTTAAAGATAATCTTAACATGGGAAGAGAAGGTAAGGGAGATACATCTTATATGGCACTTAGTCTCATTATTTTGCTAATATCTGTGGCAGCTTGTCAATACATAGCAACATTACAGCCACTAGGTGGCAGGTTAAAAAAAAAAAAGCTTAAAAAAAGAAAAACCCAAGCTAAGCTAACAAGTGAAAATTTAGGTTCTGACTAGAACAGATCAAAAGTATCAACAGCCCAATTCTTCCAGCTCTACACCAACTGCCCAGAGTGTGATTAAACGGAGAACATCCAAATCAGGACTGGCCTTGAAAGGGTTGAAACTGAAGACAGTCTACTTTTCACTACTGATGATATTCTAAGAAAACTGAGATTTGGACAATGGGTGATTCACACTCTAACATTAAGGATTAGATCAGGGATGGGTATAAAAAAAAGGTATTCAGTATGAAAAAAGGAAATCCCCTTTCGTGAGTTTAGTGGAGGTCCAGAAAAAATAAAGTATCCAGCCCAGCTGGGTGGCTCAGTTGGTTGAGCACTGTCCAGTACACCAAAAAGGTTGCGGGTTTGATTCTCAGTCAGGGCACATACCTAGGTTGCCGTTTCATCCCCAGTCAGGGCACATACAGGAAGCAACTGATCAATGTTTCTCTCTCACATTGATATTTCTCTCCCTCCCCCTCCTCTTTTTAAAATCAGTGAAAAATATCCATGGGTGAGGATTTTTTTTAAAGTGTACAGATACAGGGAATACACTCGTCCACCACCCTCACACTCTACAATCTTGTACCCCAAAATACTATCCTCATGAGGCAGGAAAGTTAGAATAGGGAACAAAGGCCGCAAGCTCTAACCCTCCTTCAACTTGGCTGGAACATCACACACACAACCTTCACTGACCACCTGTTCCCTGAGAAGAGACAAGGATGAATGGCAACAGCAATCACCCACCAGTGTCACAAGCAGAGGACCATCCTATTCCACACCCCCCTTGCCCACGTTTAATAAAAACCTTCCACCCAGACCCCACTGAGGTATTCAGTATGAGGTCACCTGCTCTCACTTCTCTAGTTCAGACTATCACTTTAATAAATTTATTGTGCTTTAACTCCTGTCACACTCTTGACTCCTTTCTTATTCCCTAACAAAAACCTGGATCAAGTTGAGGTATCCCTTAACATCCCACACACTGTCTGAAACTCCACCTAGAAGTACAAAGGACTAACAACATAGTAGCTCTCAATACACACCCAAAGAAAACTATCCTCAGAGAATGAGCACCAAAATCCAATGGAGGTAATCAAATTGTAACATATGACTGGATTGCAGTAGTCTGATAAAAGTATATGTTAATAATAATAATAATAATAATAATAATAGCAGCATCTCCACAGTAGTTTTAAAGAAAGGTCAGTTTGGAAATTTGACTCTAGTACATGTGAAGAAATACCCCAGTCCATAAACACAAGTATCAGGTCCATGAAGCCAAAAGATTTTCAAAATGATGACAGATGCATCAATGTATCACAGTATGACGACATCAGTCATTAAGATAATATAACTAATTCCCTGACTCTGATTCTAAACAGACAACCTTCCTGGTATAAACTGTCTTCCCATGCATATGAATGCAATGTTTGCAACATTTCCTCTCCAATATCAACCAGAGTTCAATACACTCCCAACACTAACAGTGATTCACTAGGGCAGTCATTTTTTAATATTGGTGTGTTTGTTTTTTTGAGAGCGAGAGAGACACTTATGTGAGAAACATTGATCAGTTGCCTCCCATACGAACCCTAACTGGGAACTGAACCAGCAACCTAGGTATGTGCCCTAACCAGAAATCGAACCCACAACCAACCTGAGCCACCCAGCCAGGGCAGGGCAGTCATTTTTAACCAGGAGGCATCCATAAGGAACTGCTTATTTTTAAAAGCACCCCAAATCATTGAGATTTTTAAGAGTTCCTTCTAATAGTTGAGAATTATGGGCCTACTTTGAGACTGGATTGACCTAATTCAATGAATTTGGTAATTACATTTCTCTCTGCAAATTAAAATTTTGGCATTTTGGCCCTAGCTGGTTTGGCTCAGTGAATCAAGCGACTAAAGGGTCCTGGGTTTGATTCCAGTCAAGGGCACATGTCCCGGTTGCAGGCTCGATCGATCCCCAGTAGATCAGGCAGGCAATCAATCAATGGCAGGCAATTCTCTCTCATCATTGATGTTTCTCTCTCTCTCTCTCTCTCTCTCTCTCTCCCCCTTACTCTCGGAAATAAAAATTTTTTTTTTAAAAAAGCCTTTAACAGCCTGTATTTTTCACTTGATAATAAATGTCTATTTTTTTAAAAAAATAAATAAATAAAAATTAAAAAGCCTTTAAAATTTTGGCATATTGGTTTTTATATATCAGTTTCTGTTATACAGAAACTGATTAATGTGAAGTATACTGAGAGGCAGAGACATTTAATGTGTCAACAAAACAGTCATATATATTTCATGAGTTAGAAGCTTATGACATTAAAACTAAAATGGACCTTAACTGGAGGTCACCTAATCCAATCTAGTCTAACACTGCCCCAATGAAAGAATCCCGTCTCTATTTTTGACATTGTTTTAATTTGGCTTTCTACCTAACACCTGATTATAACTGCACTGACAGCTGATCCCAGAAATGGGAGTAAAGAGGCATTTTTAGAACACAAGTCTCATTTCTAAAGGTAAGCAAACTTGAGTGGGGCACTTTAGTGAAAGAGGCCCTGAGACATACTTTAGGAAGAAAGATGCAGGGTGGAAGAAGATAAAAGATTTAAAAAGAAAATGAGCAAAAGGATCTGAACAGGGACTTCACAAAAGAAATCCAAAAAAACAAAATGACAAATTAATTAATTAAATAAAGGAGCACAATCTCATTAGTAATCAGGAAAATACAAATTAAAAACAAAATATATTAAACATTTAGCAGAATGCCAAAAATTAGGAAGCTGAACAATACTAAATACTGGCAAAGATATGGAGTAGTAATAGCTTGAGTACACTGTGGGAACTGTAAACTAATAAAAACACTTTGGAAAACAAGCATCTTATGTACACCCCCACTGTCCAATAATTTTATTTTATTCCTAGAGAAAATCTTGCATTTGTGCCCCAGGATTCATGTTCACAGCAAAGCTGTTTTTACAGCAACTAAGCTAGAAACGACTCAAAATTTGATCGCAGGTGTAGAATGGACAAATAGTGACATATGAATACAATTTAATACTATATGGCAATGAAAATGAACAAGCTATAGCTGCATGCAACAATATGGACAATTTTCACCAACTTACCAAGCAAAAGATACAAGAGGAAAAAGAATGCAAACGGTTGATTTTGTTTATAATATTCAAAAACAGACAAAATTAAGTTGTATTTCTTAGAAACATGTTCATTTGTGGTCAAATTATTTTTAGAAATCAGGAAAATTATTACCACAAAAATTATTTTATGAGTGATTATCCCAGTGGAGTTGTTCATCTAGGGAATGAACTATTGTAACTTGAGAAGAACTTCTATAATGATAGTAATGTTCTCTTTCTTGACCTGGATGATGGTTACAAAGATAGCAGCCTTAAAATTGTTCTTCAAACTGTACATAGGTTTTATATACTTTTCTTTAGTTATATCATATGTTAATAAAAAAATGTTGAACGAAAGAAGTGTACAAATTTACCCCATTTTAAAATTCTGCTAAAGGCTAACCATGCTTTTCCCCAGCAGAAAAGAAAATTGATCCATATAGAAATGAAGTCCCTTCAAGCCTTAGTCCTGAGTATTCTAAGGATTTGGGTGTACTGAATGGGTTCTAGACCTAAAGTTAACTACACCTGGCAAATAGGTTTGAGAAAATACCTTTAGTTATTCAAAATTAAACATCCTCAAAGTTTACAGATGATTTTAGATAGATAGATAGATAGATAGATAGATAGATAGATAGATAGATAGATGATAGATAGATAGATGATTGATAGATAGATAGATTTCAGAGAGGAAGGGAGAGGAAGATAGAAATATCAATAATGAGAGAGAATCATTGATTGGCTGTCTCCTGCATACCCCTACTGGGGATCTAGCCCAAAACCCAGGCATGTGCCCTGACTAGGAATTGAACAGTGACCTCCTGGTTCACAGGTAGATGCTCAACCACTGAGCCATGCCTGGTTAGGCAACAGATTATTTTAATAATAATTTCTTCTTGTGCCCTAACCGGTTTGGCTCAGTGGATAGAGCGTCGGCCTGTGGACTGAAGGGTCCTAGTTATTTCCAGATTCCTTATACCAACAGCTAAACTCTAAAACATAGACTTTTTTTCAATCTTCTGTCCACCTCGGCTCTAACAAAGCTTTAAGCACACATTCCCACTGTGAAGGTTTCTGCTATACAGCTATGCAGCTTTCAGTTTTAATCCTCACTTCTCCAGAAATAAAAGTATTAGCAATAAGATATCTCTCCTTCATACACATACAATAAAAAATTGTGCTATAAAAAAATGAGATTTGCCCAGCCATCATGGCTCAGTGGTTGAGCATCATCCCAGGGTTCAATTCCTGGTCAGGGCACATGCCCAAGTTGTGGGCTCAATCCCAGTGGGGGGTGTTCAGGAGGCAGCCCATTAATGATTCTCTCTCCCTCTCCCTTTCTCTCTGAAGTCAATAAAAATAAATGTATTTTTTTAAATAAATATAACTGTTATTCCCTTTTTCTCATTCACAACATAGAATGAATAATGCTGAGAAATTGAAACTTGTGTCCAGGATGAAAGTCTGGCAAAAATGACAGTACACAGAAATGGGAGCTTAAACAGTTCATTCTAAGACAAAAGGCTTAAAAAATAAACTAATAAAATTCAGTTACTGGGTAGTTTTGTTTTTCTTTTTTTTTTTCTTTCTTTCTTTATTTATTATTATTTTTATTTCTTTTTTTCCTTTTTTTTTATTAGTTAAGGTATTACAAATGTGTCCTCATCCCCCCCCTTTAACCCCCAACCTCCCCCGCCCCGCACACTCATGCTCCCATCCCCCTGTTGTCCATGTCCATTGGTTTGGCTTATATACATGTATACAAGTCCTTCGGTTGATCTCTTCCCCTTACCCCTGCCCTCCCCTACTTTCCTAATGGGGAAGTTTTGTTTTTCTTGTTTGCTTATGTTTTTTTAAACAAAAAGTAAAAAGCAACTCAAGGAATTTAACTTGCAATTAGATTTTTTAAAACATTTAAATTAATTTTTGAAAACTTTAAAAATTTTACTTAGATATAATCAAGTACATAAATCTTAGATGCATATTGTCCAATGTTTACATAGATAAACATCCTGTACTACTACCCAAATGAACATAAAGACTTAAAGCTCGATTTCAAAGTTTTATTGGAAAAAGGAAAAACAAGCAAACACCCAAGAGATTAAATACTATTGCTTCTCTAAGCCAAACGGTTTTTATTTTACTTAGTTAAATTTTATTTTCATACCTGAAATTCATCTTGAGTACTTTGAACATTGCACCATCTGGCAATAGGTTCAGGAACCACTTCACAATCCTGGCAGACTTGTTTAAGGATATTCACAAATGTTGACTTCCCTGCAGCTATTGTGAAGAGGAAAAGTAAAACTGAGGAAAATAACTTATCAGGGGAAAAAAAGCCAAAATAGTCTTCAGCTTTTCAAAAAGTATAATCATACACAGCATAACAACATTTCACTCAATGTTGAACTACATGTATTTTGGTGGTTCCCTCAAGACTATAATGATGCTGAAAAATTCCTATCACCTAGAGACACATAGATGTCTAACGTTTTAGCACAAGGCATTATTCACATACTAATGGCCCAGTGCACAAATTTGTGCACAGTGAAAGGAAATAAATTAGAAGAAATATTTTAATATCGCCATTCACCCTTTCTCTATAATAAAAATGTCAACCAAATTCACGATTCACAATGATAGATTGAAACACATGCCTGCGATTGGCGCCATCAAGAGCTTTATATGTATCGCACATGCGCAAGTCAACTTAGCCTTTTATATGTATAGAATAAACTTGCTTAATTAGACCTGCTTTCTGATGTAGCCCAGTGAAGCACCCCAACTTCTCTTTCAGGCAATTACCAGCAACACAGCAGTAAATATCAACACAAAGCAGATTATTATTGTAGATCACACTGGGAGAACAAACGGTAAAATATTTAACTGCAGCAGTGTTTGACTATATTCTGCGCAGTGAGAAAACCTGAAGTCATTCTCAAGGTTCACCATTTCTTCTTTTCAGGCAGGTCAAGTTTCTAAGCTTTCGAAATCTCTGTTTTCTGGCTAATGAAAAGAAAATAGGATCCCACTGAGTCCCCCATCTACCTGTGCAGGACTTCTGTGAGGATCAAATGAGATGGGGCACAGGGAAACGCTTCAGACATTTGGTTACAGTGTAAAATGTTTGCACCTGGGGGACTCAGGTATAATCAGAACACATTATATTTATAAATGACCCAGGAATACATTCAATGTAATAGTAGGAAAAGTATTGACATAAAATTTAATAGGGTGCAACAGTACTCCTAATGACCATCACACCCTTTCTATCTTAAGTCACCAAATGTGGTTATATTAGACATCTCCAGTCAGCATAATGTGTTTCTCCCCCTTTCTCTCCCTCCCCCCCCCCCACACACAGATAAAAATAAAAAGCAATTTTAGTATGCTTATAAGTAAAGCCTCCTCTTCCTTATAAACTGGGTCCAAAGAGGGCAAAAAGAACTTACCTTTGACTTATAAAACTACATTCAAATCTAGGACATTAAAAGGACAATAGAAAAAAAGAACAAACTGGAAGAACTTTAAAAGATCACACACAGGGCCCTAGCTGTTTTGGGCTCAGTGGATAGAGCATCGGCCTGTGGACTGAAGGGTCCCGGGTTCGATTCCAGTCTAGGGCACATGCCTGGGTTGCTGAATCAATCCCCAGTAGGGTGCATGCAGGAGGCAGCCAATCAATGATTCTCTCTCATCATTGATGTTTCTATCTTTCTCTCTCCCTCTCCCTTCCTCTCTGAAATCAATAAAAATAAATAAATAAATAAATCACACATGGAGGGGGGAAAAGAGGAGGGTCGATAAGGTAACAGACAGAACAGCTGAGGAGAAAAACTTTTAAGGATAAATTAAATGACTATTGGATTTAATAATGGGAAAAACACTGGTAACCACGGATTTTGTGTGGAGAGGGTAAGCATAGGGACTGTACGGCATTTAAAAGGACAATAAGTGAAACATAAAATGATCACCAGACATTCAGTGAGGAGCAAGGGGTCCCAGATGCGAGAGCCCCAGATTGAGAGATGGATGTCTGCCTGCCAGCTTAGGCCCGATTCCCCTGGGGATCGGGCCTAAGCCTGCAGGCGGACACCCCCTGACGGGTCCCGGACTGCCAGAGGGCACAGGCTGGGCTGAGGGCACCCCTCCCCACCCCAGTGTACGAATCTCATGCACTGGGCCTCTAGTCCTATCTAATAATAGACAAACATGGTAATTAACCATACCTCCGCTACGCTTCCCATTGGCTAATCAGGGTGATATGCAAATTAACTGCCAACCAAGATGGCTGCCGGCAGCCATGCAGCTGAAGCGAACATGAGGCTTGGTTGCCCCGGCGATGAAGGCAGCCAAGGTTCCCCACCTGCTGCGTCCGGCTCTGAGCCTGAAAGCAACAGCTCCGGAATGCAACTATGTTTCAATTATAGAAGCGAAACAAACCCCAGAGACCTGCTTTCAGACAGCCGGCATCGGAGCTGGAGCTGCAACAAAGTTTCAATTACAGAAAGTAAATAAATCCCAGAATGAAAAAAGAAAAAGAAAAAAAGGAGAGACTGGCAGCTTCAGTTGCAGGCTGGGCCTGCCTGAAAACAGCCCTCAGCCCTTCATCCAGGCTGGCCAGGCACCCCAGTCGGACCCCCACCCTGAAGGGGGTGCGGGCAGTCTGAAAACAGCCATCAGCCTCTCACCCAGGCTGGCCAGGCACCCAAGCGGGACCCCCACCCTGATCCAGGACACCCTTCAGGGCAAACCAGCTGGCCCCCACCCGTGCACCAGGCCTCTATCCTATATAGTAAAAGGGTAATATGCAAACTGACCCTAACAGCAGAAAGACTGGGAATGACTGGTCACTATGACACACACTGACCACCAGGGGGCAGACGCTCAATGCAGGAGCTGCCCCCTGGTGGTCAGTGCACTCCCACATGGAGGAGCTCTGCTCAGCCACAAGCCAGGCTGATGGCTGCCAGTACAGTGGTGGTGGTGGGAGCCTCTCCTGCCTCTTCAGCAGCGCTAAGGATGTCTGACTGCAGCTTAGGCCTGCTCCCCACTGGCAAGTGGACATCCCCCGAGGGCTGCCAGGCTGCCAGAGGGATGTCTTACTGCCAGCTTAGGCCCAATCCCCTGGGGAGCAGGCCTCAGCCAGCAGATGGTCATCCCCCGAGGGGTCCCAGACTGTGAGAGGGCACAGGCCGGGCTGACGGACCCCGCCCCTCCCCCCCCAGTGCACAAATTTTTGTGCACCGGGCCTCTAGTATGAATATAATATAAAATAAAATGAACAGTTAAGTCTCAAATTCTAGGAATAAGAGAAGAATCACAAATTATTTTCTACAACACAGATTAACAACTTGTACATTTATAGCTTATTTGGGTCTGACAAATTGGAGGGGACATGAGCAACAGTGCAAAAGCATTAAGAGTAACAGGCAAAGCTTCAGTGTCAGGAAAGACTAAGTGGTGAGGAATAAAGCCCATCTAAATAGCAAAATGTTGTCTTACAGAAATGCAGGTTCAGTGTTAGCAAATATTCAGATTTTAGTTCCAGGACCTCAGGGTCACCATAACCTGCAAATGCTCAAATCCCCTATATAAAATGGCATAAATTCACACCATATTACAAAGCTATAGCAATTATAACATTATGATACTGGCACAAAAATAAACACATAGATCAATGGAACAGAGTTGAGAGCCCAGAAATAAACTCATCCATATATGGTCAATTAACTTACGACAGAGGAGCCAAGAATAAACAATGGGAAAGGACAGTCTCTTTAATAAGTGGTGCTGGAAAAACTGGACAGCCATGTGCCAAAGAATGATACTGGACGACTATCTTACACCATACACAAAAATAAATTTAAAATGGGTTGAAGACTTGAATGTAAGACTGAAACAACAAAACTCTCAGAAGAAAATATAGGCCATAACCTTTCTGACATCAGTCTTGGCAATGATTTTATAGATTTGACACCAAAAGCAAAGGCAACAAAAGAAAGTGGGACTACATCAAACTAAAAAGCTTCTGCATGGGAAAAAAATAAAATGAAAAGGCAACCTACAGAATGGGAGAAGATATTTGCAAATGACATATATGATAAGGAGTTAATAAAAAAATATAGAAAGAACTATACAACTCAAAATAAAAAAAAAAACTAACAATCCAATTTAAAAATGGACAGAGTAAAAAATTTTCCAAAGAAGACATGCAGATGGCCAACAAGCATATGACAAACGCTCAACATCACTAATCATCAGGAAAGTACAAAAAACCATGGACCATGGTGAGAAATTACCTCACATCTGTAAGATTAGCTATTATCAAAAAGACAACAAATTACAAGTTTTGGAGAGATTATGGAGAAAACGGAATTCTCATGCACTGTTGATGGGGTTGAATATTGGTAGAACCACTATGGGAAACATGGAGGTTCTTCAAAAAATTAAGAATAGAGTGATCATATGACCAAACAATTTCACTTCTGGGTATCTGCCCAAATAAAACAAAAACACTAATTTTAAGGGGGGGAAAAAATGGCGTAAATCAATGCATATAGCCTGCCCTCAGCATCCACGAACTCCCATCCACAGAAACAGTACCGTATTTATTGGAGGGGAAATCCATGTATAACTTCACCTGCACAGTTCAAATGCATGTTGTTCAAGGGTCCAACTGTATATGGATCTTTTCCACTGGTGTCTTAATATGAGAGCAATGAAACAAAATGTCCTGTTTGAGGGTATGTCCAGCTTTTTTTCTATTCCTTGGAATGCTGCTAAAGCATCTGCTTGCCTTGCTTTTTAAAAGTCCGACTACTTTAAAAATTAAAGAAACAAAAAACAAAATTCAAGTGCTTTGAATGCGGTAAGAATTTAAAACCATTCACTGTATGCATGAATGACTAGTACATAACTTGGAGACAAAAAATAAATTATCTCAAAACAGGAAATGTCAGGCATAGGTTTCCTGTGGTAGGAAATATATAAAAACCAGAAGTTCAGATGCATCTTGCAAAATGCATGAATGGTGTGTTCTGTCCCCATCTGGGTAAAGAACAGAAACATAATGGTCTTGGAATCACAGCCCAAAGTTTACTTGGATGTAGGGTCGTTAGTGAGGAAAGCCATGCTGTTAGATAATTAAAAACCTCTTTCCTTGTACGCCAATGTTTATAGCAGTTTTATTCATAATCGCTGAAAATTGGAAACATGTCCACAACTAGGGAAGAGATAAACTGTGGCATAACCATGCAATGGAATAGTACTAGGCAACAGAAAAGAACTACCGAGACAAGCAACATGGATGAATATAAAATCATTCTGCTAATTTAAAGTATAACACACAAGGCTACACACACTATGATTCCCGCTCTATCACAGTCTGGAAAAGGCAAAACCTGCAAGGACTGAGATCAGTGGTTGCCAAAGGGCACAGGGAACTTCCCGCGGTGGAGATGCTCTCAACCCTGATCCTGGTGGTAGTAGAATGACATTATGTTTGCCAGGCCTCACTGAAGACTACACCTAAAAGGGGTCATTTAACGTATGTCAATTGCACCGGAAGAACTGGCACCCCCCCCCCCCAAAAAAACCACAAACTTTCCCTTTGTGGGGTCCCAACAAAGAGGATGAAACTGGCCCAAAGAGCTGCCAGATGCCCGGGAGGCCGCCGCCGTCGGGGCAGGGAGGGAGCTGGGAGGGAAGAGCAGGAGGGCAGAGAGCAGGAGGGCAGGGAGGGGGCAATTCCAGACCGCAGCCCCACAGCCAGCCTGGGAGGAAGGTCCTCACTGAGGTGCAGCAGAGATGCCGCAAATGCGCGCTTCGCCGCCGCCGTGACCCCCCCCTTCTATGGACCCAACATTGCGCGGGGTTCTTACCGATGTTCCCTTCGATGGAAATTTTCTTGATGCGGGTTCCCTCCGAGCTGGTCGCGGGAGAGGGGCAGCTCCTCTTGGGTGGGGTGGCCATGCCTCGACAGGGGGCGGCCGAGCGCGTCGGGCAGGTGGCTGGGAAGTGGACACAGGTGCTCGCGCCTCCGCCGCCCTG